GTTGGGATGGCGTCCTGCAGGAGCAGTGTAATTATCAGGACGGCACACTGGTGAAACACTGCTGTAGGTGTGAATGAAGCGCCGCAGCCGCCTGACAGACACACACAGGGAACGAACACTCAAAATAGTTTCAACAGCGAAATGACAGAAGAGATGAGGCGATCATCAGTGACACTGACGAGAATAAAACACAGCAGATGATTGTGAACAAGCAGGTGGAGGAAGGTTACTTTGGTTCCACCTGAAACATGAAACATGTGCTTTTACATGATTCTTTAATATATGTGATGATATACTTGCAAGCACATGTACTTTTCACCTTTAACCTGCCAGGGAATACAGATTAAAATGGGCCTACATGGTTAAATCTGGTACATTTACATGATGGACTGAAGTGATCATGTCAATTAATGTGCATTGACACTTTTAAAATAAATAATAAAAGTACCATAAAGCTGGGGTTTGAGACAGAGAGAGACAGAGAGGAAGATAAAGCTGGGCTACCAATGTTAACATGTTATCTTGGGATAATATTTAAATATATATTTTTAAATAATATGTTTTTATATCTTGTATATATATATATATTTCCACACATGCACTGAGAGTCGACAGCTCCTTTCTCTCTCTCATCTCCTCTCCTTTCCTTTCTTCTCTCTCTCTCTCTCTCTCTCTCTCTCTCTCTTTATAACTTCCTGGACAATTTGTCCAGACATAAAACAATCCTAAAAGCAGGAATCTTTCTCTTCATCAATAATGTATTGTTCGATGCACATGAGCAGAGAGGAGAGGGTTTGCAGGACAGACGGCTCCTCTAGTCCTTTCTCCTCTCCAGTATAATAAAAACAGGTCTAGATCTTCAGAATAGATGCCATGAAGCAGTGAGGGCATGTTTCAGGCTATGTGTGCTACACCACCAGATTAAACTATTCTGTGTGAATACATGCTTAACCACTGATTACCTTTAACCTGGCTACATGTAAAACCACTTCATCTGTTTATGGCAAGAAAAAGCAGTGTTGTGTTGATCTACAGCACATGTGAGCACAGTTCAGGAGTGATGGGCTCTCATGAGCAGGTTGTGTGACATTGAGAGGGTCTCTCTAGATCCGCATGCATATGAGGTTTCTGCAATTCAACCGTGACTTGGCCTTCACTTCTGTTTGCAAAGTCTGCGGGACTTTCTGTTCTGTTTTAGTGTTGAAATCGCTGTGCATAATGAGTTTAGTGTACAGTAGTAAGTGCACATCTGAAATAAATGAACTTTTCCACGACATTCTAATTTATTGAGATGCACCTGTATATATTATTATTATTATTATTTATTTTTTTTATTTTTTATTTTAGTTTTAATTTTAATTTTGGTAAAACTTTGGTATTTTTATTTAATTTTTTATTTTTTTTGGTAATTTAAAGTTTATTAATTTTAGTTCCCTTTCAGTCGGTCTCTTCCTGAAGTTGTGTCGAAGTTCCGACACTAGGGGCCCAGACACCTCACCCCATCACCATCACTGAGAAAAGGCTAATGAAATTGGTGAGCTAAATTTGCTTAGCTTGCCACACCCCTGACATCCAGGTATAAATAGGCCAGCATGGCATTTGCTCCTCCTTCTGTTCTTCGAAGCTGATGCAGCTTCTCTTTGGGAGATGCAGCACTGTAATCACATCTCAATATCCTTGTTGTTGGATCTATGGCACAAGCAGCGGTTTCTCCCTCTCCCGTACACAGATAAGTGTTGTGAGAATACCCCTGGGTGCTTCAACAGCAATCTTTGGGAGCAAATTTCCTCTTAAAAGAACAATTTCTCTAAAAGAGGTTCACGGGTGGATTTGTGTGTCTTTACAACATGCTTTTCCATCCGTGTCCTTCTGGTTGCAGTTTGTGCATCTCACCCTCTGACAGACACGATTGCTGTGCTCAATGTTTGGGCCGTGCCCATGCTGAAGCAGCTTTTGTGGATGGTTTATGTTCTTCTTGTGAGGACATGGCCATCGGCACGTTGCGCTCGTGGCTTGCATTCTTTTTTATAAACACTGCGAGTCACCTCAGCTGCTTCCCATCCTGGCCCTTCTACTTCTGGGTACGAGGCCTCGATGATGTGCATTGAAGGAGAGCAAGGAGATCTTGTGGGAGCAGTTCTGCCGGATGAATTCCCGCGGACCTGTTGTTCTGGAGAGTAAGGTCATAAGTCTTGGATGGTGGAAGGTTACGAGGAGGTGAGAAGCATTTGGTCGTGGCACACTGGGCTTGTCAACATCTGTGCCCCCATGGACTCGTAACACAGTTCAGCAGCTGTGGCATTCAGTATAGGGACCCCTAGTGTTGGAGCTTTGACACAACATCGAAGTGTCCATCTGGGAACATCTCGGTTACGTATTGTAACCCTCGTTCCCTGATGGAGGGAATGGAGACGTAAAGTCCCTTATGCCACAACTCTGTGGATTAAGACGCTTCTCGACTCCTCAGAACAAAATGAGTAGGCAAATGCCACGCTGGCCTATTAATATCCAGATGATATTTTTTGGTTAACAATAATAACCCTGGTGCACATGTGTTTTATTTAAGTGCCTCACCGTATCTCCGTCCTGTCCAGCGGTGCCATTCATCGGTGGCGTCACGTCTACCTCGACACTTGAGCTGTTTGGCAGATTCTTTTCTATAACACAAACAGAAAAGAAGTAAGTGAAGTGTGTTTGTCTTCACTAAATGGCCAAATTAATCAAATTAACCACATATATCCAAAAGTCCCCACATAAATCACTCTAAGGCTGGTCTAGTGTACTGTAGTCTTTAGCAACTGTTTTTTTTCAGCGCCTCACGCTATGAGCGCCACATTTGTAGAAAGAAGAAGGGTAATTTACCAGGCCTGGAAATTACAATTTTAACTTCCCAGATATTTCCATGTTTTCAAAAACCATTCAAACACTCACATACTGTACTTTTGCAAAGTACTGTATTTGGTCTCTGAAAGATTACCACATTCTAGCCAAGGTATATGTCTAAAAAAACATGGTATTATCATGGTAGGGTTGTTAGTGAAGAAATATTGGCAAAAATATGGTGAAAGTGCAGTAGATGGATTTGAAAGGGTTAAAGATGTTCTTTGGCCACATCAAAGAAGCTGCTCTCAACCGCCCTGCTTTTGATGCTAATATGCTAATATGGAACTGTTAGCATAATTTCCCACTTGAAATGAAAGTCCATGTGTGTCTTCAACACACAAACAATATTATGGGATTGCGATACTTCCTTTCATTTCTATAAAGTGCATGAGCGGTTGTAACCTTAAGGAGCTTTTTGTATTAGATCAGATTGGAAAAAAGCTGGTTCTTGTTCACTACAGTGCTGGATTTAACACACAATGGTACGTTTAACAAAGCTAGACACAAATTCAGTACATAGGCTACTTTGTGTAGTTACCTCGCATAACAATTGTATACCACCACTTACCAGCAACTCCATTTGAGTCCTCCACCTGGCATTTCTTTTTGGCAATTTTGTGAAGGATGGACGCCTTCTCGCGGAATTTTCCTAAAAAAAAAAAACAATAATTCAGAAAGAAAGTGAGTGATTTGGAGTAACCAATTTTCCCAGCTAAGTGAGCATGTTTCATTGTACTTACTAGATATGAAAAAATCAGTCTTTTTTAAGAAATATTTAAAAAAAAAGTGAAGCACCTGTTAAGCTACTCTTCACAAATAAGTGTGCTTGATTTTACTTGTAGTGTACTTGAAACCTAAAAAGTATTTAAAAAAGTGCTTGCAGACAATATCATAATAAATAAATAAAAGGCCACTTAAGTGACTTAAAGAGAGGAACTTTCTTGACAATGTTTCATAACACACTTAAGTACACTTTTAAAAAGAGCACTTCGTAATAATGTCAAATTAAACATTGTTTAGTGCTTTAAATATGTACACTTATTTGAATGTGTTGACTAACATACTAAAGCACATTTAAAGCACTTGATTATAATTTTTTTGAAATCAATATTATCTTTAAAGTTAATGTATTTTAAATGTACTAGATTACAACTTCACTACAAATGTGCAATTTCAAATAAATTTAAATGCATGAGTTTAATAGTTTAATAAAAATTACAAGTTTAATAGAAATTACATTAAAGTATATTTTGATTATACTTTATATAAATATTTCTCAGTACATTCGGCAGTACTTTAATCATATTTCAAAGACAACAGAAGTAATTTTGAAATTACATATAAAGACGTACTTAAGTCCTACTTAAGTGCATCAAAAAATACTCTAAAGTTCAGCTAAATTGCATTTGATATAAATTTAAACGACAGTACATTTTCATTTAATTGCAATTAACATGCAGTAAAGCTTCTGAAAACATTGCATTTAGTTCACATTTAAGTAATTTCATATTATGTATAAAACATATCTTCATTACATAAAAAATACTATTTTTGCTACAGTGCACTTCTTTTTTACAAGGGTTATCACTATGCAGCAAGATACCAATTAGTTTAGATGTATATTGCTAGTTTAACCTTAGTTTGCATGCCAGGACTAAAGTAATAACACTTAATTAATTTGTTTAATAAATACAAATATTTTTAATGACATCTTGCATTCTTGATATATACTGTATATATATATATATATATATATATGAAGTAACACTATATGGTATAGTATATAGTCATATATCGTATATAGTCACTCCAGCACGTGTCATAACCAGTGACTCCCTTAAACTGTGTGTCTATATTAACTATTAAGCACAGCTTCTTGTAACTTAGTGCTTGAAAAAAGGTCAAACTACCATTTGACCTTAAATGCAACCTTCAAACCAAGAGCACAATAACCACAGCTGCTTGCCGCTGGTTTAAGAGATTAGAGACAAAGTCTATAAAACTCAGCATGACGAGAGCAGCACCAGACCCACGAAGCAAACATCAATACAGTTGCACAACCTTTCAGGATCCATCAATGTGGAAGTAAAATTTCAGGCGATCACACACAGACAGCGTTAGCGTGTTCCAGTCTCGTTCGGTGCGTGTTTGAATTAAACAGCATGTGCAAAAACTTGCATTATAACAATAAACATAATGCGTACTTCACTAATGGAAAACATCATGATCAGTGAATGTCTTTGACCTTCCTGAGGAATCATTGACTCTGATTGGCTGATAGACAGACTGTCCTGTCTGGCTCGATCAGTGCTTTGACCCCAATCAACACGCACATGTATGTTATGTGACCTACATATCATTGACATGCCTGGAATGGTTTGGGATATAAAGTGGCTTTGTAGTTTGAACTAAGTAGGATTGTGTGTTGTTCGGGCATGTGGTGTAATAAAACTAATTTGTAGTCAGGATAGTCTTTAGTTTCTCTAAATAGGGGAGGCTAGTTGGGTTTCTCAAAATCACAGCAAATATTCCCTTGTGAAAAGAAGTACACATAAAAGGGTACTTATGACGGGGAAAAAAATACTTTAAAATAATTTACTTGCATGCGAAATGAATGTAATGTTTTCAGACAATTGCACGTTAATTGCAATTAAATTAAAATGTATTACAGTTTAAGTCTATATTAAATGCAATTTGCTTAACTTTATAGAGTTTTTTGATCCACTTAAGTAGGACTTACATTTTTATGTGATTTCATAATTACTTCTAATGTCTTTGAAATATGGTTAAAGTACTGCAGAACGCACTTACAAGCATTTATGATCAACTAAAATAATATACTTCAATGCCATTTCTATTGAAACCTGTTTGTCATGTATTTAAATATATTTGTAATTACATGTTCAAGTTGCCATATTTTGCCATTTTTCTTTTTATTTATTTTTATTTTAGCCAAATTAAACAAAAATATCACAATAAGGAGTACACATTGTCCTACTTTTAAAGAGTATCTATTATATAAATAATTTACCTTAAAAGAATATACTTAAGTGCAAACTGAATGTAATGACTTCAGACATGTTTTGAATTAAATGCAATTAAACAAAAATGTATTACAGTTTAAATTTATATTAAATGCAACTTTAGAGTGATTTTTTGACCCACTTAAGTAGGACTTAAGAACATCTTTATAATTTCATAATTACATCTGTTATCTTCAAAAGTTAAATATATTGTCGAATCTTTAAAGTTACATATATTTGCCATTAAACATTTACAATGATGAAAAATGTAACACACGCACAGACACACACACACACACACACACACATAGATTCTGTTGCCTCCTCAAAGAGACTTAAGCAATTCAGCCATAAGAGATGTCTAAGAAGTGACATTATTGCATTAGTGAGACATGAGAGAGAGAGACGGGCTGCTATTATTGCATTATCCCTTGCATAACTCTAGCTATGGAATGACTCACTCTCGGTCTCAACACTGTGATGTATGTTTCTTACCATCTATTTCTGCGCAACCAGCAGTTTTATCTGACTCTCACGGATTGCAGAGCGGTTACAGACGGTGCCGAAGAACACAGCTTTGTTATCAGAAAGCTCTGCCGCATTTGTGTACATTCCACCCACCGTTCTAGCTAATGCATTTGAAAGACTATTAAAAGCAGCCAGTTTTCTTTCATGCATGGATGTATTTATTGAAACAGGATGTTTGGGAAGGATATTTAACAAAAGTCATTAATCATGACTTGCTACTCCCTTGTCAGGTGGCATTGGGGGAGAGACTTTCTTATTCTTTAAAGCGTCTGATTGGATAGAAATGTTTAGTATTGGATGAATCATCAACATTTTGATCCACTTTCCTCAAAAAGAAAGATTGCAAATCTGCTAAAGGTTAGTTGTGTTAACATTCAAATCCAGAAAATTCAAATGTGAACCCTATATAGCTATTGTATAATATTTGATACATTTCTAAAGTCTAAAATAATCATATGATCAAAACTTTACAGAAAATCTGGTCGTGCACAATCTACTCCATGCCTTCTGTCGTCTGATTCATAGTTTCAAGCTTTTTTATCACGTAAAAGCTGTTTTAGAGTAATTGTACAAATGTCCAGCTTCAGCTCGAGCTTCACGTGTCTTTTTGCTGTCAAATCTGTACTGATTTTTATCAAGTAAATGTAAGAATAATTTTAGTAATATTTAAGCAGTTCAATTTAAAATAAACTTCAAATATTCTGATCATGCACTTATATAAATATATAAATCCCTTTCGAACAAATCAATAACAAACTTACAAAGAACAACCAAAACGGAAGAAAGAAATGGACAGGGTGAAAGAGAAACATGACAAAATGACACTCGATTAAGGATGAAAACCACGATTTGCACTTATGTGAGTGAAATCTTGGCAAGAGGGTCATGAAACTAAAAATGGAGAATAAAACTCTCTCTCACACGTATGAACAAACAGCATCGTGGGTAGAGAGGTGAAGCAGAACGAGAGAAACATGAGGGTTGACAGAAAGAGTCTTACCTTCCTCGGTCATTGAGTGATAATATTTTAGCTTGCCATAAGTCCCCAGCTCTACAATATCACACACACAGACACGGGTAAGGAAATACACGCTGGCACATGTACAAACACACACAAATATATAAGTTTCAGTGAGAAAGAGGAGGTTATGTGGCCAAAATAAATCTCTATCTAGGCCGATCTCACAGACATAAGTGCAAAAAGAAAAAAAAAAGAATAAACAGGAGGAGAAAAAAACACATTGAGGTGAACACAGTGAGTGACGCATCATGATGCACCTAATAGTTTATTTGATCAAAAACTCAACAAAAAAATGTGAAATATTTTTAATGTTTAAAACAGCAGTATTCTATTTGAATATCTGTTAAACTGTAATTTATTCCTGTGATGCTACTCCCTTGTCAGGTGGCATTGGGGGAGAGACTTTCTTATTCTTTAAAGCGTCTGATTGGATAGAAATGTTTAGTATTGGATGAATCATCAACATTTTGATCCACTTTCCTCAAAAAGAAAGATTGCAAATCTGCTAAAGGTTAGTTGTGTTAACATTCAAATCCAGAAAATTCAAATGTGAACCCTATATAGCTATTGTATAATATTTGATACATTTCTAAAGTCTAAAATAATCATATGATCAAAACTTTACAGAAAATCTGGTCGTGCACAATCTACTCCATGCCTTCTGTCGTCTGATTCATAGTTTCAAGCTTTTTTATCACGTAAAAGCTGTTTTAGAGTAATTGTACAAATGTCCAGCTTCAGCTCGAGCTTCACGTGTCTTTTTGCTGTCAAATCTGTACTGATTTTTATCAAGTAAATGTAAGAATAATTTTAGTAATATTTAAGCAGTTCAATTTAAAATAAACTTCAAATATTCTGATCATGCACTTATATAAATATATAAATCCCTTTCGAACAAATCAATAACAAACTTACAAAGAACAACCAAAACGGAAGAAAGAAATGGACAGGGTGAAAGAGAAACATGACAAAATGACACTCGATTAAGGATGAAAACCACGATTTGCACTTATGTGAGTGAAATCTTGGCAAGAGGGTCATGAAACTAAAAATGGAGAATAAAACTCTCTCTCACACGTATGAACAAACAGCATCGTGGGTAGAGAGGTGAAGCAGAACGAGAGAAACATGAGGGTTGACAGAAAGAGTCTTACCTTCCTCGGTCATTGAGTGATAATATTTTAGCTTGCCATAAGTCCCCAGCTCTACAATATCACACACACAGACACGGGTAAGGAAATACACGCTGGCACATGTACAAACACACACAAATATATAAGTTTCAGTGAGAAAGAGGAGGTTATGTGGCCAAAATAAATCTCTATCTAGGCCGATCTCACAGACATAAGTGCAAAAAGAAAAAAAAAAGAATAAACAGGAGGAGAAAAAAACACATTGAGGTGAACACAGTGAGTGACGCATCATGATGCACCTAATAGTTTATTTGATCAAAAACTCAACAAAAAAATGTGAAATATTTTTAATGTTTAAAACAGCAGTATTCTATTTGAATATCTGTTAAACTGTAATTTATTCCTGTGATGCGCAGCTGTATTTTCAGCACCATTACTCCAGTCTTCAGTGTCACATGATCTTCAGAAATCATTCTAATATGCTGATTTGCTGCTCAAGAAACATTTCTGATTATTATCAATGTTGAAAACAGTTGTGCTGACAAATATTTTTGTGGAAACCGTGATACGTTGTATTTTTCAGGATTCACAGATGAATAGAAAGTTCAGAAGAACAGCATTTATTTGAAATGAGGTATCATTTATTTCAGATAGAACCATCTCTAAATGTAAAAAGAAATCACATTAAAAATGCTTTACATGACATTCAGACTCATTCTTCCCGTCTAAGTGGGCAGTTCTTGGCTAGAATGAGCTGCAGACTGGACCAGACTTATAAAGAGTCAAAAGTTTGGCTGTGTAAGACTAATAGCAATACTTGTAATTACGTATACAATTATTTGCTATTCTCAAGTCAATTTTCATTCCAAACAGATTTTATTTTAATTTTACTGTTGTTGAAGTGCCTCGATCTGACTGCTGATTGGCTGCTGATTAGAGGTCATTCTGTCACGACCTTTAGCTTCAACACAGCAGCCATGATGGTTTCAGGGATCGCAAAAAACTTGCTCCAGAATTAATTTGTGCTAAATTTGTACTGCAACACACTGATGAAACAGGGCCATGTTTGAGTTTGAGTAAATTAAACTGATTAAAGTCCCAGATGCATTTCAGAACACTTTGATTATGCTTTATAAATGATACGTACATGACTGATCTGAAGGGGACCTCAATATTTAATTGCAGACATTGCATATAAAATACATTTCAGATTCACATAGAATATAATACACAGTGAAGTCCAAAGATTTGAAAATGCTTCCACTAATGTAATGCATTTGTATTACTAATACTATTTCTACCATTAAAAAAAAATTTTATTTTTATTTATTTTATATATTTATTTTGCATTTTTATCTTCAATGAAATAAACTTATTTAACTACATATATATATATATATATAGTTAAAAAATATATTTTTAACCTGGAAATAAATAGCGTAACATTTTTGTTTGTATATTTTCATATTTAGAAAATCAGAAATGTAAAATCTAATTTATTATCATTTTAAATAACATTTTAGGATAAAACAGCAATGTCAACATACTATTATTTAATATACATGTAAATATATTCTAAAAATTGAATAAATAAATAAATTTTGGTTTTACCCTAAAATATTCTATTTATATCCGAGTTTAAATTAGATTTTAAATCTCAGATTTTCTGCATGCTTTCAGACTTTTGGACCCCGTTGTTTATTTGAAAGATCTTATATGCTGTAAACCTGTCCTTGTCCAGCAGTGACCTTGCAGAACGACCTCTGCAGCTGCTGACCACTGACGCTCATCCCAGCGGCGCAAAGCTCTTAGCATCGATTCAGCCGATTCAGCCGGGGAAGGGTGTGTGACGTTACGTAATAAAGGTCGCATGAACGACCCGATCAGACGGTTATTGGCATGTGTGAGCATCTGCGCCTGCGTATGCAATCAGCTGGAAGAGCCCATGACGGATCACAGCGTCTTTATGAATGCGTGTGTGTGTGTGCGTGTGTGTGTGTCTGTGTGTTACACCCCTACTGTATATATATATATATATA